AGTCCTGTTCAGGACTGATGGTGAAACTGCCTGCATAAGGGCTTTGGCTCTGCCTAAGGCAGAACACGGAAAATCTGTTTTACCTCATGGCCAGAGTGTTGCCTGTAGCATCAAAAATAGAAATTCAGATCAAAAAGTTCAGAGCAATTCTTTGAAAAGTTTTCTGTTCCCATTTATTCAGCATTTCCCAACATACTGGGGCAGGGGTTAGTTTTTGACAGTCTTGCTGTATAGCTACCCAATTGGCCTTGAACTTACAATCATCCTGCCTCTAAAGTGCTGAAATTACAGGTATGAGCCGTGGTATCCAGTTTCCAGCACTTTGAACAGGACACTTCATAAGAGAAAGAAACTTTTTGAAGTCATACTGGAAAGGGAAACAGAATTACACACACGATTATTATAGTGTAGAACATCTCACATTAGTGTGCATTATGTATAACCCCAAAGGGAGATGCTAAATAATCGTCCTGAAATGACAACTGCCTAACCTTTGCCACACAGGGAAAATGTTTAAGTGTAATGTCCCACAGACTTATTTGCTGAATTTGTCTATGAATGATTAATATTGAAAAATTTCACAATAATTTAACTGACTTTTAGGGATGCTAATATCCCAAACCACACATGAGCAAACTAAACCTGTGTATAGAACAATAAACTATGATAAATAAATTTTAAAAACTTGTAACTATGATAGCAGTTGTACGATAAGCAATTTTCCAGAACTTTTTTTTTTAATCAGGCTGGGATTGAACCTAGGACTTTGCATGCACTAGGCAAATACTCTATCTACAACTGAGCATTGCTCACAGCTGAAGATAAGCAATTATAAAAATCCATACCCTCCAAAGAGGAGAAGGATGTCCTAAGTCTACTAATTTTTTTAATGCCTAGATCCAACATAACTGTAAATGGCAAAATATTTAAAACAACCTTAAGGATAAGGATCTCACCGTGATTAATTAAAACACCACTTTAATTAATGGTATTTGAGATCTTAGCACTTGAAATTGTTATGTACAGGTTTCATTACTGCTGTGGGATGGGTGCAGACATACCAAATATAAAGACTGTCTAATTCTTAGATAAAATTGAATTTATTACAGTTTTCATTATGATTAATAATCATAAATAAGTGCAATATTCAGAAAATATAAAATAAGAGATAAATCCACAGTAATGCCAGAAAATATTGAGTGTTTGGGATTAAATCTAACACAGACAATATTCATTAGTAAAATTATATTTAGATATTAAGGAATATAAAAAGGAATGGAATTTTATTATTACAATTATTCTAAGTTTTCCATAATTGAACTAGTGATTTGTGCTGGCTAGTTAGATGTCAATTTGACACAAGCTAGAGTTATCTGAAAGGAGGGAGCATCAGTTGAGAAAATGCCTTCATAAGTTTTGGCTGTAAGTCATTTTTCTTGATTAGTGATTGATGGGGAAGGGTCCAGACAACTGTGAGTGTTTCAATCCCTGGGCCAGTGGTCCTGGGTTCTAGAAGAAAGCAGGCTGAGCGAGCCATGAGGAGCAAGGCAGGAAGCAGCATCCTCCATGGCCTCTGCATCAGCTCCTGCCTCCAGGTTCCTGCACTGTTGCATTTCTGTCCTCACTGCTTTTAATGATGAACTGTTAGATGGAACTGTGAGTGAAACAAACCCTTTCCTCCCCAGGTTGCTTTTGGTCATGGTGTTTCATCACAGCAAAATAGTAACTCTAACTAAGACACAATTGCAAGCAATTCCAGTCAATATTACAACACATTTTTATTGCAGAATTTGGAAGACACTGCTACAATTTCCACAGAAGTATAATAAACCAGAAACATTAAAAACTCTTTTGGAGCAGCAAGAGGGAAGGAAGGTTTGCTGAACCTGGAACCTAGATGTGTTACAGAGCTGGATAGGAAGGTGGAGACACAGCAGAACTACTACACAGGACCTAGAGTCATAGAGATGATCTTGGTACATAA